TGGGTCTGGGTCTGGCGGGCTGGGGGGGAGCGGTGGCGGGGGCGGGGGCAGGGGAGAGCATGGAGCGGGTGACCCGCCTGGGCGGCGTCTCCGGCGGGATGAAGAAGGCCTCCTCCTGCTGCCTCTGCTGCGGAGGCGGTTGGGGCGCGCTTGTGGTGGGCGCGTTGGCGGCGAATAGGGCGAGCACCGGCTCATCCCCGGCGACGGCGACGGCGGCGGCGGGAGGCGGCTGGGGCCCGTTTGCGGTGGGCGAGGCGGCAGCGAGCGGGGCGCGCACCGGCGCATCCCCGTCGGCGGAGGCGGGAGGCAGTTGGGGCCCGTTTGCGATGGGCGTGGCGGCAGCGAACGGGGCGTCAACCGGCACATCCGCGTCGGCGCCGGCGGGGGGAGGAGGAGGATCCCGCGGCGGATCCGCGGCGGCGGGGTCCGGATCCGGGGGCCGCGAGCGGGCGCGCTTGGCCGGCGCCGAGGCCGATGGGCGGGAGCGCTTGGAGGAGCGGGAGGAGGGCTTGGGCTTGGTGGTCGGCGGGGAGAGGACGGCGGCGGCGGTGGATGAGCGGGAGGAGCGGGTGCGGCCGAGGGAGGGGGCGAGGGCGGCCTGGGAGGCGATGGCGAAGGCGAACTCCCGCTTCAGCCCCACGCGCACGCCGGAGCGGAGCACGAAGTCGTCCATGGTGGCGGCGGCGCTAGGGCTGGGGCAGAGCGAATCCGCCGGCCCGAACGGGAGGGGGGCGGCGGCGGCGCTAGGGCTAGGGCAGGCCGAATCCGGCGGCCCCAACGGGATGGGGGCGGCGGCGGCGGTGGGATCGGTGGCGCATTCAATTGAATACGAGGGGAAAAGATGGATGGAAGACATAGACATGGAAAGGATTCAGTTTTTGAACCAAAGATTCCAATTTTTCTTTGCCTTCACTCTTTTTCTTCTTTGAACTGGCAAAAAATGGAGGCTGGCGCAAACTGGCTTTCTCGATCCGCGCCCTCCAATTTATCGCGTGTTTCTAGGGTTTTCGACGAAACCGCACGCCGTCCCTCCCTCCTCCCGAAACGCCACCGACAAGTAGGGTCGGGGACCGCGTATCAGCGACGCGATGCAGAGCGTGCCGCTTTCGCGTCCAGGTGCAAGGCGAAGAAGGCGTGTCGCTTTGTCAAAACATTTATTGTCCAAGGCGCGGTGGTGGCTCGTTGCATGGATAAGCGACGAGGGGGGAGAAAGTAATTGGAACGAAGAGACGGAGGAGGGGTGTTCGAGAAGCTTCCTCCCGTTGAACGAACGTTAGTGACAGAGAGTCTGATATGGTAGGTAATGTGATAGCTTGTCAAGGGTGTGCCTTCTTCTATGCGATTTTGTGGTTGGATGCGCCGCCCACCCGATTCCATCTATACTATACAAATGACCTAAGTGTTAGTCTTTGAGTCCAATAAAGCTAGCCATGAAGGTTTTTCTGTCAAAAGTAAAAAGTTGGGGGAATCCCCAACCATGAAACAAACAAACAATTTTAAGTGAATGACCTAAGTGTTTCAATGGATGTGATACAAACAAACATGGCTTCCAAAAGGTTTATGGTTTGTTTTTTACCTACTTTAGTGATCTATATATATATATAAGAAAAGGTGTTTTATACTCCCTCCGTAAAGTAAAGTAAAGTGGAAATATAAGAAAGAGAGAGCGCTCAAGTTACTAAAGTAGTGGTCTAAACGCTCTTATAATTCTATCTATTTAACCAGGGAGTATTTCTCCCATAACACTAGGCTAGCGTCAAAAACGTCGTTTTTATATTATGAGACGCAAGGAGGGATACTCTTTGCTAACAAACAAAAAGGCTTAAGCAACTGTCGTATTGTAGATGATGATATCAGACACAAATTCAAATTTTTTGCATACCATCGCAGACATAATAATAATAATAATAATAATAATAATGTTAGCATCCAGCCAAGACAAGACAGAGGTGCTCATACAACCAAATAGACGCATCCGATTCAATAGCGAGAAACCGTAAAAACACGAAATGCGCCTTCATCGTCCATACACAACACAAAACCTAAAAAGAAATGAATGTTAGGGAAATCCTCTCCTCTGAGGAAACAGAAAGACAAGACAAATCAGCTGCTTATCTAAAGAAAGCATCCAGCAGAAATACTGACTAGAGTCCTCCTTCATCAAACAAACATTCATTCAGCAACAAAGAATCCAAGACACATTCATACTCGACAACTCGCGGCGATATGTGATTTTAGCATCATTTTGTTTCTCCCCTTGCCTTGTTTCATTCAGTCGCGCTTCCTGTCCCTGCTGTCCCTGTCCCTCCTTGCGGCCGGCGACCTTGACCGGTCCCTCGACGACCTGCTGGAACGGCGTGGAGAACGGCTCCGCCGCGGCTCCACCCGGGAGCGCCCGCCTGCATGCATACAAATCCGATCCGGATTCTTAAATGCTTGGTACAAAACCATAATAGTAGGACAGACGCAAATTAAATAATACTGTACTATGCACCCATGTTCATACTAAAGATGATTGGAGCAGTGGTGCTCCAGTGAAACAACAAGAGTACCAATCCTGTAAATGGATCTAGAATGATGCAAGTGGTCATTATAAGAAAAAGATCCACAACAACCTACACCATGCAAAATATATATCACCAACAGGACGGAAAGCATCTTATCAGACCACATGCAAGTGCAGAAAACAAAATTCAACCGCAGTCTACCTATCATCTCATCTGATTGCTAGACACCACAATCTACCTTGCAGTCTTTTGTATCCCCTCACCCTTTCCAGGAGAGAGACTTATTCTCCAGTGAAAAACAAGGAAAGGTGGACACAAATAACAACGCATTCTTCATACTAAAACCTGCGACGACTGGTAAAGTGTTCTAGTGAACCAAACTAATCTAAAATCACACCGCTGGAAAATTAAAAATGCACAGCCCATCGTGTTGGCCAGAGTTAATCATAGAATAATAAGCTTCTCTAAATTATAGGAATCTGAGCAAAGCCACGGCAAGTAAAAAAAAATCATGCTACAAGACAGATCAGATAACCGCAGTACAAATCATCTAACCTGACCGCAATCTTGGTATCCCATCCTTCCCAGGAGACTAACTAATCTCCAGTGTAAAACAAGACAGCCATACAATGTTCATACTAAAACCTCTGGTTACATGAAAAGTGTTCCAGTGAACCAAGAGGAACAACGATGCTGTGAATTAATCTAACATGACACCACTGGAGAATTAAAAATACACATCCCATCGTGTCGGCTAAAGTCAACCGTGGGATAATAAGCTACTCCAAATGCTAGGAATCTAATCAAAGCAAAGGCAAGTACAAGAAACTCATGCTATAATACAGACAAGACAGCCTACAGAAAAAAATATCAATAACAGGAAGCAAAGCATCTATTTCAAATGCAACCGCGGGAAGCAAAACTCGTCTCCATGCATACCTCTCGGACCACAGTATTCTCCAGGGGTAGGGGTCCTCTCACGAGTTCTCTTTGCCTGCAATTCACAAGGTCGTCAGCGAATACGAATTCGAATGCATGGATCATAATCATTCTGCATTAATAAATAATTTTACTCGAGGCAATGAATGAAATGCGCATCAAACTGGCCCTGACGGAAGGCGCGCTGAAGACATCCAACACCAGCTACACTTACCACAGTAGCTCCAACAATGTAGTACCACGTACCACAGTAGCTACACGTAACACGGGGAGGTCTACGGTGGTGACGCATAGCTCTCACTCCAAGAACACCAGAATGACTTTTGGTGCTCGGTCTGTCGGAGGTGACGCGCAGCAGTGCAGCCTTGAGAGCCGCGCTCTCACTCCAGGATCACCAGAGTAGCTTGAGGTGCCCGGTCGGTCGGTGGTGACGCGTAGCAGTGCAGCCTTGAGAGCTGCGCTCTCACTCCAAGATCACCAG